TAATGCCCACTGAAACAAAACATGACTGTGAGCCTGCAGACAACTCTTCTTTCTATTATTGAAACCAGAAATTTGAATGGATACAACAACAAAAACTCATCTTTGATGAAGAACACTTAATTTTGAAATATGCACAATTAGAACTGTTCCTGCTACACCTCTGAAAAAGTCAGTAAAAACACCACCACACACCAATTACTGACCAAATAATTCTGATTTTAAAAGCACCTACTCACTTCTTGCATACTAGTGTAAGCATAAGACATATATGGTTTGTAACATAGTCCTTAATTTTTACTGAACAGTTACTGCTACAAACCAAAAGTGCATATACGGGATACAGAACTCTAGAACAAATCATTTTAAAAATGCATGTTAAAACAAACTCTCTGGGAATAAACTGTATCTTAAGAAATACTCAAAAACCTGATTAAAACAATTACAATGCTATACAATTTACCAGCATAAATCTTTGAGATCCCTGATCAAATTTCAGTCATACACACTTCTGGTAAAAGAATTATTTATGTACACACCAATCAAGTCTTTTTTAGATGGATGTTACTCTTTATATGGTCAGTGGACTCTTTTCTCCAGATTCTGACTTTTCAAAATTTTGGTTTCGCAACTCGGGATTTTTTAAGCTCAAGATTAAAAAAAAAAAAAAAAAAAAAAACTGAAGAGAGGAAAAAAAAATTACTCATAAGGGTGGGGACTCCTAATTAAAGCAAATCCATTTGCCTGCTACCTTTAGGGCATCACTTTCACTTAATAGCTAAACAAACAAACAAACAAAAACAGCTAAATTGTCCTGACTTCTATTTTAAAGACATTTATAAAAATATAAAAAAGAAAACACTATAATTAACAACTAACTAAAAAGAAAATTGCATCTGATGCTGTATCCCATTACACATCACAAAACAGGAACCATGTCAAAGTAGTAAATACAAGTTACACACGGACTTTAGGACGCACCACGGACAATGATCATGACCAGGTAATCTTCTTCAGATTTGGCCAGTGCCTTGGCAGGGGAATCCAGGAACTGCTGGGAGAACTCACAAGGTGGGAAGGCATGAAGGACCCCGGTGTTTTCCTTGTCTTTGTTGCCCCCCACAGGGAGGCTGATCACCCCGGCTGCCTGCTTTTGCTTTAAATAGGACACAAGGTTCCTAAGTGGCCTCTGAGTAGAAGTGGCAGTGTCTGATGCAGCTGAGGAAGAGGAGGACCGGCTGTCAGAACTTCCAGGCACAGCCAGAAGAATGGCATAACCATTGGGCCCTGCTACTTTGATGCGTCGAGTTACTTCATCCAACTTGGGCTGATCCAAACGGAGACGCTGAGTGATCTTGAGCTGGGCCACTTTGCCTCCAGTTGAACCCTCCACAAGAAGACTGCTAGCCACTTGGAGGTCACCCTGCAACAGATGCATGTTGGAAGGAAAGTTGCTGTTCTTCAGTAGAAGCATGCCCTGCCAGGCCAAACAGAGTTTGGGAGAGGCTGCTGCCGCAGGAGCTGTGCCCCCATCCTGCTTCTGGGACAGGGACTTCAGCTTGGAGGAAGCAGTGCTGGTGCTAGGTGCACTCCCATCAGAGCGGTCTTCTTTTTTCAAAGGGCTTTTTCCCTCAGTGGGAGCAGTTGTCCGGTGCTTCCTATCCCGTTCGGCTGATGCAGAGTTTTTACGGTCTCGCTTGTCACCCTGGCTTTTCTCCAAGCTGCCTCGTCTGTCTCTGATTGGAGAAGGCCTTTCCAAGAGAAGAAGACGAGAAGATCGATCATTGTCGCTGTTGTAACGATCCCGACTACTGCTCAATTCTGGACTACGATCAGGAGAAGGAGCACAGTGACGCTTTCGTGGGCGGTCACTTTCAGGAGACCTATCCAGATGTCGTCCTCCACTCTCCTCAGGCAGCCTTCGCTTCCTAGGCTGGTCTCTGCTGCTAGGCAGATCTCGATCACCTCTGTCCCGGTCCAAGGACCAACCATCTCGCCTGCGATCCAGGCTATCCAGTGGCTCATAAGCAGGCACAGAAGTAGCTGCAGTCCGAGTGCTGCGTTCCCTGACTGGGGGTGGGGGTGGCACCCAATCAGAGTCAGGATAAAGGTCCCTATCACGATCTCTGTATAGTAAGGGTGGTGTCCTATCCCGAGCACCCCTCAAAGGATCAGGTGCCCGATGTCCAAAGGCATCTGTCACCAGCTCATAATGAGTCAAGGGCAGAGGCTGCAGATATTGCTGCTGGTAACGGTGCTCAGTGTCGGCAAAGTCTACTCTAAGGCGTCGATCTGGGCCACCAAGTGGGAAGCCCCGCATATGGGTCCAGGCAGCATGCGCTGCATCCAGGCTTTCATACTGGATATATGCCCAACTGTCACCTTTTCGGTAATCTATGGTGCGTATGGTGCCAAATCGATCAAATTCTCGTGCCAGGGCAGCAAGAGGAACCCAAGGTCCCAGGCCTCCCACCCAGAGGCGGGTGGTGGGTGTAGCTTTACCATAACCAATTTTGATAGGATTCCGAATTATAATTTTGCCAGACATTGCTAATTTGGCCCGGTGAGACATATCTAGGTTCTCAAATTTGAGAAAGCCATAAGTACTAGTCTGGCCGCGAGACGGCCTCTTGATATCTACTTCTGTGATGACTCCAAAGCGATCAAACGCCCTTCTTAAATCACTCTCGGTTACAGTGATGTCTAGGTTGCCCAAGAAAAGCGTCCGGTTAGCTCGCTGATCATCCTCGGGTGAAATCTCATCCACTTCTCTGAAAGGAGCAGCACCTGCTCCAGCTCCCACCCTTGGCTCAAGGCTGTATGCTGGGCGCACTCTCTCGTAGAATGGGTAGTCTCTTTCTCTCTCCAGCTCTCGAGGCAATGGTGGTGGAGGTGGAGGGGGCAGGCGGCCAAGAGCCAACTGCTGCAGCCGGTAGTCTCTGTATCCCAAAGCAGCGCCACCAGGGGAAAGTGATCTCTGGCCTCCACCACCTCCAGGAGGGTGCCGGTGACCACCTGCAGAGGCCCCGACCACGCTGGCTGATGGAGGATAAGTATCTTTGTCTAAAGGGGAGCGGCTGCGGCGCCGGCTCACATACACAGCTTCTATCTTCAGAGGCCGGTCATAGAGCACCAGGCGGCCTCTGGCATGCTTGGCCGCCCGCGCGTCCTCTGGCCGCCGGAAGTTCACAAAGGCTACCCGCTCATCCCCGCTGCCAGAACCCGACAGATGACTGATTTTGACACTTACATCACCGAAGCGTTTGAATTCATGAAACAGGCCGTCCTCCACCGCTTCGTCACTCAGCTGGGACCCCAACTCGCTTATCTTCAGAGTCTTGTATTCCCCGCCGTCCCCGCCGCCGGGAGCTGAGGAGGCGGCCCCAGAGGAACGTGACTCCCCGCCTCCACCCCGGGAGCTGCTGCGCGACTCGCCCCCGCCCGAGGAATTTTTGGTGCTCGGGGAGCTATAACTATGCAAGCGGCTACTGGAGCTGCCCCCACCGGTGTCATACTCGCGGCTGCCACCTCGGCTGCTGGACTTATCTAGGTGCAGACTCCGCCGCGACCCGCCGCCGCTATCTGTCTTTCCGCTGCTGCTCCCGTTGCTGCCACCAGAGCCACCTAACTTCTTGCTCCGCTCCCCGCGGGAAGTCGAGTCCTCACCACCACGGGAGCGCTTGGCTTTGACTGGCGAGCGCTCTTTCCCCTTCATTGTTGCGGGTCGTCGGAGGTCGTCTCCGCGGAGGTGATTAACCCGCCACCCCGCACTCGTTTCACACAGCGGAACCGCACGCCGCCATCTTGGACTCCGCCGCGACACAGGATCCCGCCCCGCAGTCCTCATTGGCCAATTAGCTCTCTCTTCTACAGTCTCATTGGAAAAATTATTTGTCTATCTTTACATCTCCCCGCGCTCCAGGAAGGCGCCCGCCCAACCACTGTTATTGGGTTCTCAACGCCCCAGTCAGAGTACCTCATTGGTTATATTTGTTGTCTATCTTAACGGTTCCTCGCGCCAGGCTGTAGCTCCGCCCCCAGCACTCTACGGTCATGTGACCCGAAGTCTGGAGGTCTTGATTGGACGAAAAGTCTGCCCTGTAACGGTACTTCTTACTCGGTGAAAGCAGCAACCCCACCTCCTCATCCCTTTCATTGGCTTATAAACCCGTCCTTTAAACCACTATTTGGGAGGTCGGGCCATCTGTTTCAGCGTTTTTTCCAGAGGCAGCCTCACAGCGATATCGCGAGAGACGGTGAGCTTCCCTCGGTCGACCCCCTTTTTCCAACTCCTCCGGCGGCTAAAAGAAGTTTAAATCTGATTGGATGTCGGCAAGGAAGTTGATAGGCTGAAATAACTGTCCATCACTTGCTTAAAGGGGTAGGCCCGTGTAAAGGAGGAGGCTGACTGAAGGGGAAAGACTAGAACACGTGCTTACTGTGCGACGTCACTTAGATGTCGCGAGAGGGTGGCTGTGAGCCAGCCCCGCCTCCCCGCCTTTTCAGCGTCCTCCCACAAATATTTGTTCAGTTCCGTGAGGTACTTAGCTGTGCTTCGGCCGTTGGAGTTCGAAACTTTTGGACTCCCCGCCATCCTACCTGTGCCGGCCCAGGGGCGTGGCAGGCTCTCCGGCTGTCGGGGCCCTCCAGTCCCTCAGGAAGCCGTCCTGGGACGCCTAGCGGACACCATCTTAGGTCGCTGTGGCCGCTGCGTGAATAGCCGGGGGGAGCCCCGCCCCCCGCGCGCGGGAGAGCCCGGCCTGCGGTCACCCGGGTCCTCTGAGCAAGGAGTTCATGGTTCCTGCAGCCCCAGGTCACGCTGACGCCCTGGGGCGGTGCTGACACAAGGAGCTTCAAGAACTTCAAGCTGCGCGGCGAAGAAGCAGTCCTCGCTTGGGAGCCCGGCTTTCCCGGGCGCTCCCCGTTCCCTCCCAAGTACTTTGGCAGCAGAGGGGAGTGACCGTCGCTCCCCGCCTCTTGGCCCGCGGGCGGAGCCGGAACTGTCGGGACAGCGTGGACGTGTCTCTGGGCGGCCTGTTTTATTTTGCGAATCTGTGTGGGTTTTTAAATTCTGTTGCCCCGTAAAATACCTATGTTTCTTTTTAACATCTAATGCTTCTCCCCGGAAAATCATCAAGCGAAATTTAGGCTCCATGCAGATATGTCACTTGGTTTCCCCCCTGTAACTTCGGTATCCCCCACACTCCGCTTATTGTGTTAGAAGCCAGCAGCACTGGCACCTTGCAGCCGCTCCAGATCCACCTCGTTTGGCTCCTCCACTCGTTCCCTTTACAACTCTTTTCCGTAGAGCATTACTGTGGCGGACAGAGCACCTGTGGGAGGTGCAGGCGATGGCGAGCTTAGCGGGGTGCGGCCTGCGCCCTAGCGCTTTGCCGGCTGCTGGAGGGACGCAGCGCTGAGGTCACCACAGCCTTTAGACTGTCTGCAGCCCTCCCAGGTATTCGCCGGGGCGGAGGTTATGGGGATTCTTACATTGATCCCGTCCTCAACCTGTTTCCCAAGACGTAATCTGTAATAGAGGGTGTGAGGTGTTTTTAAACATGACATTTTTCAAGGTAACAATAATGTCCCAAAAGCCGAAACCTAAACTTGAAAAGCGTGTTAAGATTAGGAACTGTAACCTAAATTTAGCGGCCGAGCCATCCTTCTTTTTGTAAGTAATCCTGAGGAATGTGAAGCTGCAGGCCTTCTATCCCTTGATTAGATCAAAGACATTTGAAGGAAGAAGCTCAATTGTAAAGCATGAAAGTCTACGATATTGTAATGTGTAAACATATTCATTGTATTAAAATGGGAAATAAAACCATAAGGCCTAAAATAATGTGTATAATATGCTACCATTTGTGGTTTAAAAAATTACATTTGTGAGTATGTACAGTTTGAAAATATAATTGCTTGGAAACTTCCGTGACAAATACATGGGAAAGTGTTACTAGGATCGCCCTGAGGCTGGGTGTGAGGGTCTGGAATAGGAGGGAGACTTCACTTTTCTTTGTAGAAATCTTTTGTTTTCTACAAAAAGCAAGCTATTACTCCTTCAATTTAAAAAAACAATTATTTTTAATTTTCCTTAAACTATTTTTATGGAAAAAGTTTAAAATATGTAAAAGAATACTATAAAGAACTCCATGTACCCAACACCCTATTTCAACAATTGTCAAATCATGTCAGTCTTGTTTCATCTGCATCACACTTCCCACTCTTCCTTTCTCCATTGTTTTCTTCCAGACTTACCTGATAGATTTCCTGCCCCAGTTGTGGAATCAGCCATTTCTCCAGAGAGCCCTGGTTCCTTTTAGTGGGAAATGATATTTAAAGATAATCTGGATGCTGGTAGAGGGGGGAAAAAAAAAACATGAACACATTCTTTGTAAAAGCACGAAATAAAAGAAAAAGGTTTACCTGGGTTTAAATTTGCTTCAAGGTTATATTAGTAGACCACAAATGGAAATTGAAGTTAAGCCATTATCTGATTATTCAATGTAATAGCCAATCGAGATAATAAACCAGGCACCAGAGTGACTTTTTAACCTAAATTGACCTGCTAAGGTGACTCACTGATGAAAGAAAAAGATAATGACCAAATCAGTAGTTTTCCAAACCCATGATAGGGGTTGAGGGAGCGCTAGAGTTGAGAGAAAGAATTCAGGGAGATAAGCAGGCACCCAGTCTGTGTGAACATGCGCCAGAGGCATGCCAAGCTTAGTGACTTGCCATTTCAAATACCAGGGAGCTTGATGGAAGCTACTGCCCGCAGCTGGCTAGTATGAAGTCTTGCCTAGGGAGACTGGTAATCTGCCTGGAGCCAAAAGGACTAGTAAGGTTTATGATTAGATAGAAAAGGCCTAAATTCCATTACAAGTAACAGCCAAAATATCGCCTGTGATGTGTGACTGTGACTATTCCACCTCAGATCATCCAGGCATTAGATTCTCATAAGGAATACACAATCTAGATCCCTCACATACTCAGTTCACAATAGGGTTAACCCTCCTCTGAGAATCTAATGCCTCTGCTGATCTGTCAGGAGATGGAGCGCAGGCAGTAATGCTCCCTCACCTGCCCCCCTCAGCTGCTGTGCAGCCAGGTCTTAACAGGCAACTGACTAGTACTGGTCCACAGCCCGGGGGCTGGGAACCCCTGCTTTAAAGCATAAAGCTACTTAGTGAGTTTTTTGTTTTAGAGACAGGGACTTGCTTTGTCACCCAGGTTGGAATGTAATGGTGCAATCATAGCTCACTGCAACCTCGAATTCCTGGCTCAAGCAATCCTCCCTATTCAGCCTCCCAAGTAGCTAGGACGGCAGGCACACACCACCACACCCAGCTAATTTTTTAATTTTTTTGTATCCATGAGGTCTAGCCAGGTTGCCCAGGCTGATCTCAAACTCCTGGCCTCAAGTGATCCTCCCACCTCAGCCATCCCAAAGCACTGAGATTACAGGCATGAGCCACTGCACCCAGCCAAGTGAGGTTTTAACATCCTCTGTTTACACATGTGCTTTAGAGAGCACATGTGTAAAAGTGGATAAAAGTGACCCATGGTTTAGATGGCCAGGACTTTGAACTCTTCGTTTGCTGTTGATGATGGAATTGCTAAGGTGCAACCTGAGCTTTCATTTGATCTCCTTGTGATCCATGGCCAGATTTGTGAGAACAGCTGACCTAGGTGAGGAGGATCTTTCGATAGTCATGAAAACAGGGCTGGATTTGGTGGCTCACACCTGTAATCCTAGCACTTACGGAGGCCAAAGTGGGTGTATCATTTGAGTCAGGAGTTGGAGACCAACGAGGCCAACATGGTGAAACCCCAGCCCACATCTCTACTAAAAATACAAAAATTAGCTGGGCGTGGTGGTGGACGCCTGTAATCCCAGCTATTTGGGAGGCTAAGGCAGGAAAATCCCTTGAACCCAGAAGACGGAGGTTGCAGTGAGCTGAGATTGTGCCATAGCACTCTAGCCTTCCAGCCTGGGCAACAGTGCAAGACTCAGTCTCAAAAAAAAAAAAAAAAAAAAAAAAACAGGGTTATGTTACCAGCAGATTCCTTGGGTATCAGAGCAGCTCTGTAAGGATACTAAAAACCACTGAATTGTATACTTAATTAATTAATTAATTTATTATTCGACCAAGAAATTCTCCTATCTCAGTCTCCCAAGTAGCTGGGATTACCTGTATGTACAACCATGCCCAGCTAATTTTTGAATTGTATACTTTAAATGTGTAAACTTTATGGTATATAAATTAAGCTTAATAAAGACTGAAAACATACTGACATCCTAAACTTATGTGCATGTATTCAATCAAATGTCCTCTTTCCACCCTTACCTTTCCTAGGTTTTATTGTTTGTGTATCCTCAATACACACATAGACAATTACTACTGCAATATGAAATTTATCTTGGGAGCTGAGAGTCATTCAATTTCTTGGCAGATGCAAAAACAAAACAAAACAAAACAAAAAGGCTAAAGCTGGGAATTAAAAATTTTTTCCCACCCATAATAGTAGATTAAAATTTTCTATTTCAGCTTCCTTCATAAAGTGAGTGGTGTCTTGACAGTTATTTTATTTGGTCTGCAGAAAAAGTGTATATTTTACCCATAGACATATATTAAATCTCAAAAGCAGCAAACAGTCACTCAGGAGCCAGTTTGTGTTACAAAATCACGATTTGTGATCTGTGAGTTTTTTAAACAGCTTTATTAAGATAAAATTTATATACCATAAAGTTTACCCATTCAAAGTATACAATTCAGGGGGTTTTAGAATCCTTACAGAGCTGTCCATGTGTTTCCTCCTTTAATATTGTTAAAGAAAGCACTCTGCTATAACTTCTTCGTGACTAAGCCCTAAGATAATTATCTTTTATTTATTTAGACACCTTATAGGGTAGTGATTAAGAGTACACACTCTGGAGCCAGCCAGCCTGGATTAAATCCCAACTCTACTATGGGCCTCAGAAGAGTTACTGGCAACCTCTCTGCACCTTGATTTTCTCCTCACTGGGAAGATTAAATGGGTTAAACCATATACTTGGCCCATGGTAAGCACTGCATAAATGATTGCTATTATTAATATATTTTCTCTTTGAACTTGGGTACATAGAATTGGATTAATTATAATCCTTAATTCATGGTATACAATCAGCAGTGAGTGGTCCATATCTTCAATGTTTATTATTTATTATTAACATAATGAAAATCCATGAAATCAGCACTCAATCCAGCACTCAAAGAAATAGAAAATTACCAGGAATTTACATCTACCTAAAGGCTGCTCCTCTATCCTTTCTACTGCCCACCTTCATCAATATCCTGAGTGTAGTATTTAGCAATCCTTGCCTTGTAAAATGATTTTTAAAGAAATTTTAAAGAATTCATATGTGTGTGTGCTTGCACATGTGTGCACACACACCTGAAAAATATATTATTTTCATTTTTCTTGTTTTTGAACTTTATACAAACTTGTATTTGAACAACATACTATATATAACTTTCTGAGATTTACATTTTTTCTATTGTGTTACTATGATTCTTCCATATTATCATGTATAATAGCTATAGTTTATTTCCATTGTTGTAAAATATCTCATTATATGGAATATACTACTATTTATTTATCCATTCTTCTTTTGATTTGGACTATGAATATTTTCTACTTTTTATGCTATTATGAAGAGTGCTTGATATAATTTGAATGTTGTGCCCTCTAATCTCATGTTGAAATGTAATCTTCAGTGTTGAAAGTGGAGCTTGCTGAGAGGCATTTGGATCATAGGGGAGGATCTTTCCTGGCTTGGTGCTGTCCTCGTGATAGTGAGTGAGTTCTCCGGAGTTCTTGTTTAAAAGTATATGGCACTCCACTCTCTCACTCACACTCTCACTATGTGATATGCTGGCTCCCCCTTTGCCTTCTGTCATGATCGTAAGCAGCGCAAGGCCTCACCAGAAGCTGACAGATGTCAGCACCATGCTTCCTGTACAGCCTGCAGAACTGTAAGCCAGTTAAATCTCTTTTCTTTTTAAATTACCCAGTCTTGTGTATTCCTTTATAGCAATGCAGAATGGCCTAACACAGTGCTACCATGAAGATCCTTATTCATATGTCCTGAGGCACACATGCAAGAATTTCCCTGGGATAGGATGAAGAGGTGGAAGGTGAAGGATGCTAGGAGTGGAATTATTGGATTAAAAAGGTATATTGAAGCTGGCCTGTAATTCTAGCTACTCAGGAGGCTGAGGTAGATGGATCAATTGAGCTCAGGAGTTCCAAGGCCAGCGTGGGTAATATAGTGAGACCCTCCGTGTCTTTTTTTTTTTTTTTTTATATAAAGGTTATAAATGTCCAGTTTCATAGGATAATGTTGAATTGTTTTCTAAACCGGGTTTTTTTTTTTTTAGTAATTTACAATCTCATCAGTAGTATATAAGAGATCTTATTGATCCGTGTGACTAACATTTTATAACTTTTTTTAATCAAATAAATGGACATAAAATAGCATGTCTCTGTGGTTTTGATGTTTTACTTCCTTGATTACTAGTGAGGTTGCTGAGGATTCTTCTGCCTCAGCCTCTTGAGTAGCTGGGATTACAGGCATGCATCACCACGCCCAGCTAATTTTTAGTATTTTTAATAGAGATGGGTTTTCTCCATGTTGGTCAGGTTGGTCTCGAACTCCCAACCTCAGGTGATCTGCCTGCCTCAGCCTCCCAAAGTGCTGAAATTACAGGCATGAGCCACTGTCCCCGTCGTGCTATCAAGTTTTTAATTATAGAAGTTGAATTTCAGCCAAGCCCAGTGGCTCATGCCTGTAATATCAGCACCTTGGGAGGCTGAGGCAGGTGGATCATGAGGTCAGGAGTTCGTGACCAGCCTGGCTAACATGGTGAAACCCGTCTCTACTAAAAATACAAAAATAAGGCTGGGCATGGTGGTGTGCACCTGTAATCCCAGTTACTATGGAGCTGAGTCAGGAGAATTGCTTGAACCCAGGAGGCGGAGGTTGCAGTGAGCCAAAGTCATGCCACTGCACTCCAGCTTATGCGATACAATGAGACTCTGGCTGAAAAAAAAATAATAATAAATAATAATAATTTTGTGCATGAAACAAAGTTTGTGTTAATGTTTTTGTGTGATAATTTTCACTCGTGGTTTCATGTCGGTGCTCACAAAGTTTTGGGTTTGGGAACATTTGAAATTTCATATTAGGGATGCTAAACCCATACTGGAACAATTAATACAATTTGAATATGTATTATGAATTAGTTAATAGTAATGTACCAATGTTATAGTTCTTGATTTTGATCATTGTTCTGGGGTTATTAAGATAATGCTTGTGAGCTCAGAAACACATGCTGAAATACTTAAGGTGTGAAAGGAAAATAAATGTGGGATCCTCAAGTCACTAAGCCAAAGGGAAAAAAATCAAGCTGGGAACTGCTTAGGGCAAACCTGCCTCCCATTCTATTCCTAACAAAGATAGCTACTAAGATAAAAAAGCTACATACCTCACTCACAATTCCTCCTTAGGGAAATTCCTTGCGGACAAAGGACAGGCAGAACTCAAAGTCATCCCTCTGCTCACTGAGATAAATGCATATCTGATCGCTTCCTTTGGAAAGGCTAATCAGAAAC